ACTGTTCTGTAGTTTCCACACTCAGTTGGGTCACCTTTCTTTGGAATGGGAACAAATATAGATCTCTTCCAGTCAGTTGGCCAAGTGGTTGTTCTCCATATTTCTTGGCACAACTTGGTGAGCACATCCACGGCAACATCTGTTATCTGAAATACTTCGATTGGTACACCATAATTTTCTCAGTTTAAAACTTATTTAAACCTCCCCCCCCCTTATTTTTGTTTCTATACTATTTAAGGCAGAATTAAGGAAAAAATGCAATACAACTGTTTCCTTCTCAACAATCTTACCTATTTTGACCGAAGCTTTATTACCTTTAGCAGCTACCGTTATCACAGACTTCACAGCACTTGAGGATTTCCCTAAACAAAAAAGTAGTAATCAAAATTGGTTTAGATTAATGGGTATCAGGGGAGCTCTGGTGGCCTAGTGGCAAGGAGCTGCAACTACAATTCCAGAGGCACACGGTTCGAATCCACCAGATGCTCTGCCGGGAATAAAAATTAAAAAAAAACAAAACAAAACTATCAAAGATTAATGGGTATCAAAAATGTATAAATAATTACATAGGGATGAAATCTGAAAGCTACAACTAGATTTTTATTAAAAAGATAAAATATTATTACTATCTTTGTGAGTAAAGGTCATTTTCTAAGGAAGAAGAGAGCGTCTTTGGGGAAAGAAATGTAACTGAAGAAGAATTCATTTTTCCACTTGGGTCTTAAAGATTGTAGTCGGGCAAGTTAAAGGAGTTTTTCAATGTTCAGATCAACTAGAACGACAATGACCAATATTAAGAACATAAAAAAACCCATTCCATGTGCTTTTCAATGGTTCCGCAGCAGTAATAACCATGCACAAAGTTAGATCATCTCCTTTTAATTCTAACTTGAAGTAAAGAGCCTTACCTAGCTACTAAATGTGATGTAAAAAATTCTAGATGGTAAAAATTCAATAATAAACTTAGCACTTACTATGATATCACATGAAAATCAATACAACTATTATATGCATCTTAAATACTTAATTAACATGTCTAGAGTAAAAAAACATACCAGAAGGCTTGTTCACTTTAGCTGATGGCTTGGCTTGTCCAATTTTGGCTAAAATTAACAGGCAAAAACATAAGTGTGGATTAAAAAAATCCATCATTTAGCTTTAAGAGACACTACTTAGTAGTTTGTGATCATTTAAGGAAAAACCCCTATAATGTCCAAATATCTTTTTATAACCATAAAATTTTAACATTAGGCTAAATCTCGGACACAGAAATTTGCTCAGCCAAACTGTTCATAACAGTTTGTTCAAACAATTCTTATCTAGTGGCCTAGCTGCAGAATGCTGCACTGATAACCCAAAGGTTCAAATCCACCAACTCCTCTGTGGCAGAAGGGCAAGCTCCTCCCATGGGAATTACTGCCTCTAAAAACATCCTGGAGAGCCAGCTGTGACTCAATAGTACATAACAACTTCCCCCAAATGCTGTGCCAATTAATATTATCAATTACATTATTAATTATACATGAAGGAGCAGTCTTCCTCTTCTGACATGAAATATTAACAGAAATTAGTAATTTTGGAAATTTTTTTCATACTTTTGGTGTCCTCTCTGAAAAAAAATCCTCATTTCATGAGTTGCCTTATCGTTAAGGTTGAAGTTTTGACATATTCTTTTAGTTATTAAGACAGTTGACAGATACAAGTTTCCAAAAATGTTCTCATTATCATTTCCTTAGTAGTCCTTTTACAAAGAGGTGCACTACAGCCCAAAGATAAATAGGTATATTTATCAGAATTTGTTTCAGGAAACATTCTTTTTTCAGTTTTTAAAAATTTCTAATATACATTTCAAGCTTTACTTAACCTAAGACATCTACAAAGAATTAAATATTTTAACACACTATATTGTGGTAAGTGCTATGCTTTTGGGAGTAGGACTTTTTTTTTTTAGGGATTTTATTAGAAGCTCTCGAGCAGGGACTCTACACACATCCTGATGCAGAGGCCACGTGGCAGAGCCAGGACTTTATTTTTTAAAATGGAATCCTGAAATCCTAACAAGACAACCAACCATATAACTGAACTACATAAAAACATGACAACCTGAGACACACTATCCATTACATTTAAGAATAATTTAGCCAATGAAAATTTAGAGCTGTAGTTCATAATAATGAATTCTTAATCAACAGCACTGTAAAACATTAGCAGTTCAAAGGCATTGCTTCTTCGAATGCTTGATTTCACTTACATGATACTTTTACAACAGTACACAAAAACCAGTCTATTATTAGTTAACAGCAGCAGGAGGAGGGCAGGGGGGAACACAGTGCTTAGAGAGACACTGAACTTCCTGTAAAGGTGATGGTGAAAACTTGCGTACTGGTGACAGATGAACAGTATGACAAACCTAACTAATGTCACTGATTTGTTTTTGTGTCTTTGTTTTGTTTTTTTTTTTTAAATTTTTTGTTAGTCTTATATGTGTGTGTACACCGTCAAAGCGGATCTGACTGGTACAGGAGGAGGTTGCCCGTCCTTTTCCAGCAGAGCATCTGATGGATTTGAACTATGCGCCTCTGGGATTGCAGTGTAGCTTGCCACTAGGTCACCAGAGCTCCCCACTGATTTGTATTTGTGAAGACTGAAAAGGTAAAAGGTGACATATACATTTAAGGATTAATTTGAAGAAATTATATATAGACATATCAATTTATCAACTTACTAGTAGTGGAAGTTGAAGTCACAGTTTCAACAGTTTTTGAAGGATCTGAGTCTTTTCTATTTTAAAAGAACAACAACAAAAATATGAGCACAGATTTGAAAATGCAATGTTCAACAATCAAAAATATCATGCTAAGCTGTGGTGTGACAAGTTTTATGTCTTACAATGTACATTCATTCCCATATATGGAATCACTTACTTTAAAGTAGATGTTTTCTTTGAATCTGAAGGCTTTTTCTTCACGTCTTTGCTCTATGAAGGAATAATATTTTGAGTAAAATACTTAGGCTCACTTCTCCAATTATAAAATTCAATTTAGAAAACACAGAAAAGCATAAAAATATCTACGCTCACCTACCATAAAAGTATAAATAAATGCTCATTACTTTCTCCAACCATACAGAAATAAAATATTTTACATTTTTAACATTATTTTGTATACTGCCTTTTATTAATCACCCATATTTTATCATAGTTCAAGAATGATTTCTAAAAGGTCATTTCAGATGTAACCTTCGCCATAAAAATTCAGAAGAGTTAAGAGTTTATAAAACTTCTGTTTTACAAACGTATGGCATTGTAGTGTATTTGATCTACACTTACGCAAAGATTTTAGGAACAAAAAACTTTCAAGTGATTAGAGAATTGGATTGTATAAAATAGTTCATTTTCTTGTGCATGACTCTGTCCTACCCGGTCATTATGAGTTAGGACTGACTTGATTTGATCATGTATATACATTTCTTTTTGTCTTTTAGTATCATATGTGATGTCTTTAAATGTCAGTTTATTTGAATTTATACTCCTAAACTGTTGAGTTATACATACTTTATTTGATCACGGAACTGTATACTTACTAAGCAAACGTTTCATCAATCAATCAATCATCACTACAATAAATCATCTAGAATCTACCTCCAATTTACCTGTGATTTTTTCTTTCCAGGAACACTTATTTTCACACGTGTTCCTTTTATATTAAGAGGTGTTTTTTCAATATACTTGAAGATAGCAGAAACAGACTCTTTTAATTCCATTTCCAAGTAAGCCTAAAATTAATAACAAATATTTTCCTTTAAGTAAAAAAATCTACATTCAAAGTCTGTCTTTTTTAAGTGGACTTATTACTTTCTTGACTATGAAATTACCTCGTTTCCCTTATTTCTGTCTTTGAATAAAAGCTACAAGCAAACAAATTATTTAATATAAAATGAAATAATTTGTTGCAGTTGAAATTCTAAAAGCAAGGGTGAGCAACCTGTTTGTTGCCTGTGTAAACAGGGTTTCACTGGAACAGAGCCGCATATATGTATTACCAGTGACCATTTTCACATTCTAACAATAAAATGAGTGGTTATGATTTTCCAGTGGACCAAATGGTTGCACAAGTATTTAGTATCTTTAGAGATTTGTCAAACTTTGTTCTAAAGAAGGCAGTGTTTATTCACCAAATCCAAACATTTACATACATCAGTAAACAATTATAGGTGACAACATGGCTCAGAGTTAACAATGACTTTAGGTAATGAGCAAATCTTTAGTAAGTAATGATTCTCTATATATTTTTAGTACTCACCTCCCTTCTATATGGAACAACCAATATCTCATTCAGTTTTCCCAATGGTTGAAATACTTTTCTAATATCTTCTTCAGTACATCCATCCTCTGGTAATTCAGATACAACAATAGCTGAAGACAGGTCTTTCCACACCTAGATTGTGATGGAAGTCAGTAAGTTGTGTAACATAACAATAACAATTTTCAATTTCTTTCATCACTTATCTTAAATCTTTGAAAAACAGTCTAGTTTATTTAACTTTTGAAATATTTAAAGTACAAAGACATACACTTTGCTGGTTTCTCACTCACACTCAACAGTGTCATGATCTAAACCTACAGAATGATCCATAGCCATTAAAGAGTACTTAAAGAATCCGTGCAGGGGGGAGGGGTGGGCAGAGAAAAGTGCAACAATGAATGAATGGAAATCGAAAGTCTCTGTAAATTTTCATTAAAATTAATAGCAATAAAAAAAAATTTTAAAAAGATTCCACACAGCCTACGAAGGAGTTTTGAAGGTAAAATAAATTAGGCATTAAACTACTAACAGGAAGTCACCAGTCCACAAGCTGCTATAAGGGAGAAAGGAGCAAAGCACCCTGCTTTCGTAAAATTTACCATTCTGGAACCTTACCCTGCAGCTCTAATGGAATGGTCCACAGTATGCTGTAAACCAAAAGGTCATGCTCTCTGGTGCTGCTAATCCACCATTCTTTCCATTTAAGAGTTAACTATAGCTTTGGAAACCAGATGGAGGGTCAGTGAGTGGGGAACTCTTTGGAGAACAGTGTCCTCATGAGTTGGAATCAACTGATTGACAATGAATTTGGCTTTAAGGTTAGTTTATGTGACCCACCAAGATAATGAAACCAAAAGTACAGCTTTATCTGCTCGCTTAATAACTAGAAATGACACACTATGTAAGTATAATGCCATTCATCTTTTGGTAACGTTTTCGTGGCTATAACCTTTACAAAAGCAGTGTTCAGCAAACCTTTCTTTCCAGCACCACTGGGTAGGTTCAAATTATCTCTAAGTATAGGAAAAAATATCCTTCATCTCAACTCTTAACCTTTCTCAATTATTTCTAATTATAACACACTAAAATAGAATTAATTCTATTTTACCTCTTACTTGAAGCCACCCTCATTCCAGCTCTGTTACCTACTAAGGCAATCAAGTGGAACTATAAAATAGAAGACTATTTTCTATTCTATATACTTACTAATTATTCCCTTCACCTTCCAGGAGCATCAATTAACTTACAATATACTGCTGTTGCTAGGTGCCATAGACTCAAGTATGACTCAGTGACTCTATGAACAACAGATTTGAACCCTGTGTCACCCTTCTCATCTGACACACTTGAACCCACTGCTGCAGGCACTGTGTCAATCCACCTCATTGAAGGCCTTCTTGTTGACCCTCCACCTTTTCAAGGCTAGTCTCTCCTAGCAACATGCACAAGGTATGCGAGATGAAGCTTTGCCATCCTCGCCTACAAGGAGAATTCTGGCTGCACTTTTAACAAGACATACACGTTTGTTCTCTTGGCACTCCATGGGCTATTCAACACTCTTCTCCAACATCACAACTCAAAGACATCAATTCTTTTGACTTCCTTATTCATTGTCCAGATCTCAGATGCACAGCAAGTGATAACACCTCAAACTGACATCAATAGTCCTCAGTAATCTGGAGAGATTCCAAACTAGTCTTTCCCAATGCAATATATCTCCCTGAATGCTGGTACCAAGGTTGTTGACTGTAAGACGAAATCATTCATAATGTCAATATTTCTCCATTTATCTTGATATCGTCTAAATATAGTCCAATCAGTGGTTAGGATTTTTGTTTTCTTGATGTTGAGATGTAATCCATATTAAAGATCCTGATCTTCTGAAGTATACACCTAAAATCCTCACTTTCAGTAAGCAAGGTTGTATCTTCTGCATTACACATGTTGTTAGTAAGTCTTCCTCTAATCCTGATGTCACTTTTTCTTCAGAGATCCCAGCTTTTCAAAGGACTTGCTCAGTATACAGACTCAATAGAGATGGAGAGAGGATACAATACTGACACATACCTTTATCTTAAACCATGCAGTGTTCTCTTGGTTTGTTCGGACAACAGCTTCTTGATCTAGATATAGGTTTTGTATGAACACAATTATGTGTTCTAAGATTCCCATTCTTCTCAATATTAGCTACAATTTGCTATGATTCACATGGTCAAATGTCTTTGCATAGTCAATAAATCACAAATAGGAATTCTTTTGGTATTCTGTTTCAGTTAGGATCCATCTGACATCAGCAATGGTATCTCCCAGGTGCCAGGACCTCTTCTGAACGAACACAGCTTGAACTCTGGCAGTTTCCTGTTAACAACTGTTCTAACCACTTTTGGATGATCTTCAACATGATTTTGCTTGTTATGTGATACTGTTTGAGAATGTCACCATTTTATTAGATCATCTTTCTCAGGAATGGAAACAAATATAGATGTCTTACAAGCAGTTGGCCAGAGAGCTATTTTCCTTTCCTCCAAATTTCCTAACAGACTGATGAGCTAGTCTAGGACTGCCATCTGTGGAATCACATCAATTGTTATCTAATCATTTCCAGGGGCTTTATTCCAGCTGCACTGGGTGCAGCTTCAGTTACTTCCTTCATTACCACTGGCTCTTGATCATATATAGTACTTCCTGAAATACTTTGGTGTTCATCAATCATTTCTAGTATACTAACTCATATTCCTTCCATCTTTTTTGTTTGTTGCATACCGTCAAATCGGATCCAACTGTCACAGGAGGAGATTGTCCATCCTTCTTCACTGGAGGAAGTGGTGGATTCGAACTGAGTACCTTTGGGACTGCAGTACAGCTTCTTGACATTAAGCCAGCAAAGATCCTCCTCTCATCTTTCTGATGCTTCTTGGATCCTTCAAGATTTTGCCAATAGCATCTTTCAGTATTGTAATTTGAGGCTTGAATTTGTTTTACAATTCTTTCATGAGTTCGTACCTTTTTAATTTCTATCTCCAACTCTTTGTATAAATTTGTGTAATTTTAATACTTTGCTTCTGTCTTCTCAAGCTACCCTCTGAAATCTGCTGTTCTTCTTCTTCTTCCCTTTGTAGATTTTTAAATTTGGGAGAGATAGGCTCAAAGTCATTATTTTGGTTCTCGTGGCCGTTTTTTTCTGCCTTAATTTGAACTTGTACATGAGTAACTGATGGTCTCTTTCAGAGTTAGCACCTGGCTTGGTTTTGATGCTGATATTGAGCTTCTCCAGCAATTCTTTCCATAGATATAGTCAGTAAGATTCCTGTGTAGTCCATCTGATAAGGTAGGCATACTGAATCATACAATACTGAACCTAGTACCTACCTAAATTCTTGGTGGTCTAAGCTTTGTGTAATTATCATGTGTAACAGTAAGAATACCCTCAAATAAGGTAGCATTTACAAGTGCACAAAGCGCATGTAGAAGTTCTAATTTGAGCTCAAATAATCTAGCTATAATTGTCATAAAACTGGTGGGTATGGTATATTTTTAATTAACATTCTATTAGACCCCCAACAGATGCCTCCTCTTGCTTTCCCTATGAAGAATAATTACAACAAGTTGTATGCCAAACAGAGTAAAATTTGCTAGCTGTCTAGTAATTTTCAAGCTGTATACAGCGTAAGGTCTGAAGTACAACTCATAGTGACCCTATGAATAGTAACTCTGAATCCTGTCCTTATCATTTCTGACACACTAAGTCTACTGTTGCAGTCACTGTGTCAATCCATCTCATCAAGGGTCTTCCTCTTTTTGCTGACTCTACTTTTCTAAACATGAGATACCTTTCCAAGTCTCTCCTAGCAAGAACAGTCTCTTCTGCCCAAAGTATGAGAGACAAAGCTTTGTCATCCTTGCCTTCCAGAAGCACTGTGCCTGTACATTCTGCAGGACATAGCTGTCTGTTCTTCTGGCAGTTCACAGAATACTTAGTCCTCTTCTCCAACACACCACAGCTCAAAGGCATCAACTGTTCTGTCATTCTTCTTATTCTTGTCCATCTTTCAAATGCTTAGTAAGTGACTTAAGACTATGGCCTGAACAAAGTGTACTTACAAATCTAAAGAGCTTTTATTATTATTAGATATACAAAACATCTGGTAGTCTGGTTTGTTACAGATTTAAAGTAAGGAGATTCTCAGACTGTGTTGTTTTTTCATTTTGTTTACTCTTTTTTTGTGCATACCATCAAATCAGGTCTGACTGGTACAGGAGGAGATTGTCTGTCCTTCTCCAGCAGAGCATCTGGTGGATTCAAACAGCGCAGCTCTAGGATTGCAGTGCAGCTTCTTGCCACTAGGCCACCAGAGCTCCCATCTCAGGCTGTTTTAATATACTATTTACCATTACTACTGGGTACTGCTGAGATGCTATGACTCATGAGTAATCACAGGTATACATAAAACAACGTCCAGCCATGCACCATCCAAATAATCACTGCTCTGAGTCTATTGTTAAAAATCAGTATGTTAATCCTTCCCATTTAAGGGTCTTCCATTTTTCCTACTGACTCTCTGACTTTAGCAAGCATGAAGTCCTTTTCCAGGAACTGGTATCTCTCCAGATAACAAGCCCCAAAACACTATAAAACAAAAGCCTCACCATTCTTCTTGTTAAGAAGTGAATACTGCAGTAGTATAGTAGTTTGGCTAAAACAATTTTTTTAAAAAACCAACAAACAAGTAACTAAGCAGTGAAACCAGGTTATAATAAAAACATACTGGTTTATCAGTACTCAGAAAATAGATAAGATACAGCCACAGAAAATATGATTGAAAACTATAAATACCTAATAGACATTCACTCTAATAGCCTAACAAAGACTACAAAAACTCGATGCAAGTGGTGATTATATTTTCTTCCATTATCAGACAGTAAAACTCATCACAACAGTATGCTAAGAGAAGGTGATCAAAAACCTATCAAATTATCCTCATTTTTAAATATTTGTGATTATGGAGTTATCTGACTTTTTATCACTGGACGTTTATTATACTCCTAAGAGAACTAATAAAACAGTCCACATCAACATAATTTATTAAGCCACTATTTCAAACTTACTAGAAATAATATTCAGTCAAGTTTGTTTTCTACTGTCACATTTAATAAATGCATGCATACTTGTACTAACAAATTGCAGAATCACTGACCTTACGCTGGACAGGTTTCTCAGCTGTTTCTTTACTTTCTGGTAAGTTATTATCTTCAGGATTCTTTGGCTTGTAACGGGTACTTGAATCACTCTTAGCAGATCCTGAGGATTTCACTGATGGTTTTGATCCAGTGCTAGGTTTAGACTTTTGTGCTGGTGAGTGTCCTTTATCAGATGGTTCAGAATGCTTCTTTTTACCAGTTTCTGCTCCATGTACAGATCGTTGTGCTACATCTTCTACGGCTTTTTCTCTATCTAGTAAAAGAATATAAATTCAATGTCAACTTAAAAGGAACTAACTTACAGTAGGAACCATCTTATGACATTGTAAAATCCTAAACCCCCTCAAAATGTCCAAATTATTAGTAATTTCCAAGACAAACAGGGATCACATAGAAAGGAAAAATTTAATAGCAGTAATAAAAAGGCTATTTTCCATAGGGTTCCCATATTCCTTTTAGTTTCACTTCAGGATTTGTATTTTCTGCTGTATTAGTAATTAAAATGTTCAGAATATTTATTTTAGTAATACTACTAGTATTATGAGTTTTCATGAAAAATAACTGTATTATTAAGGGGAATGCCTAGCGGTACAAGTTGGGTGTGTACACTTTTTGTAAAAATACTAATACTAGAGCATACTCCCAGAGCTCCCTATGTACTGCCAAAACAAGCAAACTGGTCTGAGAAGATATGCACAGCTGGACTGCTCCTCAGAGATGGTCTCACTTCAGACATGTTAGGAGGGTTCAGTCCCTGGAAAAGTACATCAGCTTGGAAAAGGTCAGCAAGGGAGTAAGATACTCTAGGAGATGTGCTGTAACAGTATGGGCTTAATCACAGCAGAGACTTAGAGGACGGTGTAGGACTGGGCCAAGTTTCAACCTGTTGTTGTTCTTATGTGCCGTCGAGTCGCTTG